AAATCACAATAATAATCAATCAAATGATTTCTCCCACAATGATTTTATGACATTTTTTATCAATAAAATCAATAATATTTGTCGTACGACTATAAAAAATACCAACAAACCAATCCAGTTTGAATATGTCTCTAGGGTTGTCTCACCTGATTCAATTAATCTTTTCAATTTTTAAATGTGCACTCCAGATGAATTGCGTAAAATAGTTTGTGACTCCACTCCCCTACTAGTTCTTGTTCTCTTGATTTGATTCCAACATACATATTTAAAAAAATAGATCTTTTTTTACCATTTGTGACATATTTTGTCAACTAATGTTTATTAACTGGCAGTTTTCCCAACCCTTTGAAACATGCTGTTGTAACCCCACTTCTAAAAAAATCAAATTTGGACGACAACGTTTTATAAAATTACCGTCCTATCTCTAATCTTTCATTCATTTTTAAAGTCATTGAACAAGTTGTTATCAAACAATTGTTACAGCACTTAAACAAAAACAATTTGTTGCCAAAGAGCCAATCCGGCTATCGCCAATATTTTTCCACAGAAACTGCACTCATTGTTATTTTCTCCCAGTTGTTCTCTTCAATTGACAGTCAAGGCGTTTCTTTTTTGGCATTACTTGATATGAGTGCTGCATTTGATTGTGTCGATCATATTCGTCTCATGTATAAACTTTCCACAAATTTTTTTTCTCTGATTCAGTCTTATCGTGGTTCTCTTCCTATCTTTTAAGCCGCACCCAGCAGGTTTCTTACAACAAAACTCTCTCTGACGTAAACAAACTATCGTTTGGTGTTCCCCAGGGTTTTGTGTTGGGACTTCTGTTGTTTCTTATATACACCGCTGATATCATTCATAAATATGAGTTCAGCTCCAACGCCTTTGCTGATGATATTCAGTTATTGGTATCTTGTCCTGTTGATTTGATTGACGCTTCTCTGAATAAACTGATTGATTGTCTTATCGAAATTAGATTTTGGATGAGTATGAATCAGTTAAAGTTAAATCAATCTAAGACATATATTACCGGTTGGTTCATGGCAGCAGCTGTCAAAGGTCAAAATTTCATCGATCTGTATTGGCAACGACATCATTGAATTTTCCACATCTGTCCAAAGTCTTGGAGTTATTATTGACTCAAACCTAAAGATGGATTTACATATTAATAATTTAGTGAGGGTCGGCTCCAACCAACTCACGCAATGTCAAAAAATCACTAAACACGTCTGTTCTTCAAAGTTTGATTTCCTCTTTCGTTTTTTCCAGACTAGACTATTGCAATAGTCTTTTTTATGGTGTCACCAAAAGGTCTTTTTCAAAGCTTCAGTTACCTCCCTATTTCACTGATAGATTGGAATCATACAAATCTCATTTTTTAAAATATTCCTTCCGATCAACCGAGCGCAATTTATTTTTTATCCCGATTACAAAGTTAGCGACGGGTTACGCAACTTTGCGGTTCTTGGCCCGGTTGTTTGCAATTGAAGTCAACTTAAAACTTATTTATTTGCACAATGAACGTCCGTCTTATTTGTCTATGATTCAGTAGCGTTTTTGAAATTCAACAATTAAAAAGCGTTGTATATAAATTTCCGTAATAATAATAATATACAAACAGTATTGTATGAATTTTACAAAATATATGCGATATATGCGACGCTAGCTATATGCTGTTCTGTATATAGGGAGTATAGAAATAAATGCGACGCGTGCTACATACTGTTCTGTATATAGAGAGGAGTATAGAAAAGAGCATAGAAGAGAGTATAGAATTTTCTATGATATAGAAAGCGTTATGTAGATAGGGCGGTAAAAACATATATAAGGCCGCGAGTTGAGATATAGAGGGTCGTTGTTTTTTTTAGGTTATGTTTTAGCTTCTTGGTTTCGCTCTGGTTTCATTTTTAGCTGTTGATTATAGTGTTGCTTGGATCTCTGATGGTTTGCCTGATGGTTATAGTAGATAGTATGAATAGATAGTTAATTTTGGATATATCACTTGTTAATTGTTACTTTGCATATGAAGACAGAGGTTTGATTATTACTATTTTGTTTTTATTGAATAAAAGAAGTGTTCACTTAAAATTTGGCTCGGCTTAATTATTTTACCTAAAATAATGTATGTTGAGGAAAACTTGCTGATAGTTGACGAGGTCGGCGTCTCTAGTTAACAAGCAGGGCGCGAACAAACTTTCGCCCGGCCCGTGTTTTCAGACCCTGAGATGGTCTATTGTAGAGTGGCGGATCCCGGCCAGGAAAGACTTCGCCGAAGTGAAAGCTCGGGTGGATATTCGTATGCGGACGCGGTTCGGGACCGCGTGGTGCGGAATTGGAATGTCGCCCGGCAAAAATCTACAAATGTATATCATAAATCATAATGTTTTAAAATAAAACATAAAACTTATGACCTTCTCATTTTATTTAAAACATTAGATGACCTTAACATAAATGTTCTGAAGACCCATCACACACATTAGATTTTTTAGTCTTGGTCCTACCATTGGTTTTGTAAGGGAATCAGCAACTTGAAGTTCTGGCACAACTTGTTCAACTGAAACTTCTTTTGCAACCTTTTCTCTAACAAAGAAATGTCTAATGTGGATATGCTTTGTTCTTCTGTGAAGTTCTGGATTATGCGCTAAACAAATTGCTGCTTCATTGTTGACAAAAATTTATGGCTTTTTCTTTAGATCTACAATGTCGTTCAACAATCGTTTGAGCCATATCACTTCACGAGCTGCTTCACTTGCGGCAACGATTTCTGCTTCGGTAGTTGAAATCGCTAATGAGGATTGACGTTGGCTAAACCAACTGATCACGCTTCCTCCAAACATACAGATTACACCTGATGTCGATCTTCCACTAGATTTATCTCCTCCACGATCTGCATCACTGTAGGCTATAAGTGTATTGTTTTGACCAGACTTGTAAACAATACCAACATCAGTTGTGCCTTGTAAATATCTGAAAATTTGCTTGACTTGTGTTACATTGAACTTACTGGGTTTTTTCAAACTTGGATGCTAGTCCAACTGCATATGCAATATCTGGTCTTGTTCCCGTCATCAAGTACATCAATGCACCAACTGCTGATCTGTAAAAAAATTTCACTTCCTCCTGTTCATTTTTGTTTTCCTTGAACTCCTCAGATTTTTTAATCGGAGGTGTACAGGGTTTACACTGACTCATCCCAAACTTTTCAAGAATCATTCTTTTATACGATGACTGACTGACTTTAATATTTCCCTTCTCAACTTGATTAATTTTTAATTCAAGGAAATATGTTGCAGGTTTAGATGCTACCTTGAACTCTGACTTTAATTTTTTTTCAAATTTTTTTAGTTCTTCTTCATCTGTTCCTGCAACTAGTCCATCATCAACATACAGTGCAAGTATGAGTTTCTTTCCTCCCTGTATTCTAATGAACAAACAAGCATCGCTTTGTTTGAAATGTCTCTTTTTC